CATGTCTGGTTTGCTATCCTTGTGGGGACTCTCCATAGGCGTAATGGTTGTTCTACTGTACAGACCGTGTATTCTATTGCCCACCCCTAAACCTACCCCTCACAGGAAACTTTCTGCATTTTTAGATTTTCAAAAAACTTAATTCTGTATGATTTATAAGCTTTTGTACCCGTGGGGACCACAATTTAGGTCCCCACCGTGACACGAGTCCCCATGAGTCTGTGTGTATTCAGGTTTAAGTCCCCACCAGAATAGAAAAACAGGTACACACACACACAGACACACACACAGACACACACGCACACAGACACACACACACACACACAGACAGACACACACAGACACACAGACACACACGCACACACACACACACACACGCATGCGCTCTCATTTGAAGTGTTTGTGGTGTGTGCGTCTCGAGTGTTTCTATTTCAGCGGTTTGTTCAGCTGCTCTAACTGACTAACTGTGTGTGTGTGTGTGTGTGTGAGAGGGAGATAAAGAGGGAGGAACACATCAAAGCATTACAACACACACATAATAAAGTGGTGTAGAGTGTAAATATAACACAAGCTGATGAAAGACGCTGTTGCTGTGTGTGAAACTCCTCAGCCGCTCAGAAATGTGCTGCACGTTTGATTCACACAGAATATTAAATCATATTAAAGTACGAAATCAGAGAATAAAATGAAAATCATCATGAACCAAGCAGAGCTAAACTAGCTAAACCAGCGTCTGTTAAACCACTCAAACTAATGAAGCCGTTAAACACGAGACCTTTGACCTCGGAGACTCCTGACTAACACGCATTAGACGGCGTTTTCTAGTTACAGAACGAATACAAATTATATGAACTAGAATTTTATTTAAAACGTACTGAACATCTTTCAGTCGATGAATCTGTTTGAAGGTGGGTCTGGACTCAAATACTGATGATCAATGCTAAATATATATTTTAGTAGAAAAAAATCATTATAAACTATATTTAGTCGAGCGATTTTAAATAATTACCATGTAGGAATCACAATTAATTTCATATAACGTTTATTAAATATCATATAATAAACTAATATTATTTGTGTAATTGCAGACAAAATACTGCAGAGATACAATTGAATATTTCAACACTTTCAGTCAAACATAAAAAAAAACTAGATTTGAAAGTGTGTGAAGCATTAAATGAGAACAGATCAGATCCTAAAGCAGAATCTTAAATGTCATAAAAGGTCATGGTTGAACTCTATATATATATAAGAAGAGAAATACAGAATAAACACGGAATAAGCTTCACAAACATCCGATCTATATTCATAAGCGGCTGCACTTGTGTACTTGAGAAGTATTCAGTGTCTTGTGTTTCACCCCAGAACGGTCTATTCTCCAAGTGAAGAGCACTGAATAATCTGAAGTGTGTTTGTGAGGAGTGAGGCTGGAAGCTGTATGATTCTGGATCAGATGAAAGGTTTGTAAGAGCTGTGGGCTGATCTGAGCTTCCTCTTCCTCTTCCTCACCGCAGACGCTCAGTGCTGCGGTTCACGAGAACGGGTCAAACACCTGGTCATCAGAAGAGCTCAGAAAAACACTCGCCGTCCTTTACTTCAGAGCATTTCAGCCGAACACTTCCGCTGCAAATAATGATTTTCTTCCTTAGTATTCATGTCTTGTTTTCTAGTATAAATATCTACAAATTCTGGAATTAAAATGCATTTACGTAACATGACTTATGATATTATGTCTTGTTTTCTGGGAAAATTATCCCAATTTAGTTTTTGCTTAAAACAAGTATAATATCTGCCGGTGGGGTCAGAAGCCTTTGAGTCGTTTTACCCTGACTCAATCATTTTTAGAGCTTTACACTAGAAAACAAGATATAAATACTAAGCAAGAAAACGTTTTTTTGCAGCGCACAATTTTATTTTGAGGTGCTTGTTTGGCTTTGGCAGTTTTTCGAGGCGTGAGGATTACGATCTAATAGTTTTTTGGGTTATTTGATCAAAAGAGTGCAACTGTAAGCAACAGTGACAGTACGCTAAAAATACAATTCAAAGAATCCCCGAGGAAACAGGTTTGTAAAAATAGCACACATAAACCTTTCGAGTCGTACGGCTTTTGATGTAACATCGAGACGCATCTGTCCACTACGTCGCTCGTCACAATATCATCCCTTATTTAGTATACTATATAAAACTAAATCTGCTAAATATACAGTAAAAAACAGAACTGTGTGTGCCAGAACTTTACTGTGGTAGCAAAATTTAGTTTTACAGATTTAGCTCAAATTTACAGTAAAAATGCATTTCGTTAACTTGTTAATAAAGCAACCTATTAAAGCACTAATATCTGTTTTGTAGCTTTGTAATACACTGACAGCTCTTGCAGAAGCAGAGGAGGAAAATACTGATATTCTGATAAACACTAAACGACATGCATGACACCAAAATACATACATTTAACAACATCAGATGAAAGATAATAAAGTGCTAATGTACACAGCTGATGAGAAGAAACTGAGAAGACGTGCTACACAGAGGATTCTAGGATTTTTCACTGTTAATTTCCACTTCCAAAAAACAGTAATATCCAGTATTACATTTAACAGTATTCTTCTCTTCAGTGAGAACTGACCGTTAAATGATCACAATATCACATTTTTAATTAACTGTAATAAACCGCTTTGTTTAAATGAGCATAATCAATTCATTGCAGATGCTCACTGAGGTTTGATTCAACAGTTTTCATTCAGGTTACTTCTGCTTTATAATACTTCAGTATCATTTAAAGTTGCTCTTTTTTACTTTTGCTCAGATACTTGGATTTTAACATCGTACAGTATCCATACTTTGACTTGAGTATACTTGAGTACAGACGCAGCAGAAACACATGATTTAACGCTAGACAAACTAAACATTATATACGTGTTCTTCTGTTTTACGTTCATCTGAAACGAGTGTCTAAACGGGTCAAATAAACAAACGTCTGTTCTTTTGCTACATTACTGCAATAAAATGTAAATACACACATTAAATATGATGTTAGATTAAAATAAATATGAGTAACAGATTTCGTGTGAATGAAGCGAGCGTTCGGTGTGCTGACGGTTTGATCAACTCAAAGAAAAATATAGTTTGATCATTTTTATTAATAAAATCAAACCAGCGACTCGAACACTTACAATTTGTGTAAAAACTAGAAAACAGAATGTGATTGTTTATTTATAGACATGTCTTAAAAATTGATTTCTTAATAAAAAATATATACATATACACACCATTGTTTAAAACTTTGGCGTCAGTTATATTTTTTTGAAAGAAATTCATGCTTTTATTCATCAGTGACACATTAAAGTGATCAAAAGTAACAGTAAAGACATTTATAATGTTACAAAAGAGTTCTATTTCAAATAAATGCTGTTCTTTTGAACTTTCTGTTCATCTGTGAATCCTGAAAAATAAAATGTATCAGTTTCCACAAAAATATTGTGCAGCACGACTGTTTTCAACGTTGATAATAATCAGAAATGTTTGTTGAGCAGCAAATCAGCATATTAGAATGATTTCTGAAGATCATGTGACACTGAAGACTGGAGTAATGATGCTGAAAATACAGCTGCACATCACAGAAATAAATTACAGTTTAACAGAGATTCACACAGAAAACAGCGGTTTTAAATTCTAATAATATTTCACATTATTTCTGTTTTTACTCAAAAGCATGAATCTTTCAGAACTCTCTAAATGTTGGAAGAGTAGTGTTCTCTCTAATGTGAATAAAAGCTTGCTATGATGTGTTTATATGAATGTGCAGCGCAGGTTATACGCTAATCAGCATCTGTCAGGTGTGACATATTTGAGTTCACAGAATCTCATGTGATTGATGTGAATTCTACAGCGGGTTCCTTGAAATGATGTTTTCAGCCTGTATTTTCCACCGTGTCTCATCATTTGATTCACTGATCTACTGAGAGGGACTCTGACTGTAAACGAAGCTGGTTTCGCCCACTGAATGAAGACTTTCCACATCATCAGCAGCATCGGATCAAAAACAAACTGAGACGTCTCTGAACACACACAGAATTAAGTGCAATGAAGCAGAAATGAAGATTCTTGAGCTGAACATTGACGCAGAAATTACCATTTAAGAGATCTGATGGTCTGTAATATCTAAATCCAATGTTATGGCAATAATATATATATATATTTATATGAAGAGTTTATTTGCAAAAACAGATTTTTTTAACCTAATCAAAATAACCCAACTGCAGTTTGATTGAGATATATGTATGTTTGAATTTAAAATGATTTCCCAATACTAAAAATACAAATCTAAAACATGCATCTACTTGTGTTCTAAAAGCATCGGATAGACTGTAGAATTAAATTCACCAGCTATTTGTAGAATAAAACTCTAAACAGTGTGTGTGTGTGTGTGTCTGTGTGTCTGTGTGTGTGTGTGTGTGTTTCATCTTTCATCTGTGTTTGTGGAAAATCATGAATGGCTGAGGAAGTTCATCTCACAATAATATCAAGACACGACTGGGGTGTGTCGGTGGAAAGAATGAATCCAGAAACCCTCGACTCGACTCGATCACTGATCTGAGATCAGCAGACTCACTGCTTTACTGGAGATTCACATGGGCTGAATCAACACTGAATCAGCTCAGAATCAACACTGAATCAGCTCAGAATCAACACTGAATCAGCTCAGAATCAACACTGAATCAGCTCAGAATCAACACTGAATCAGCTCAGAATCAACACTGAATCAGCTCAGAATCAACACTGAATCAGCTCAGAATCAACACTGAATCAGCTCAGAATCAACACTGAATCAGCTCAGAATCAACACTGAATCAACACTGAATCAGCTCAGAATCAACACTGAATCAGCTCACAGTCACACAACACTCCGCTTCTGCTCGACCTGATGAAACCCCATCAAACCTCCAGCTCCAAAGACACTTTAACATTTAACACTAAATAAAAGTTTGTTCAACTGCATTTGAAAATGACTGCAAAGCTGCTTTATAAAACAGAAGCCGGTTTTTAGGGTTTATTTTACATTCAGCTCTCAAATCAAAACTCATGATGTTTGGAGAAGCAGAAGTTTGTTCTGATGTTTCAGCATTTCTAATAAACGATAAACACTCAAATCAGCTAAATCTGTTTATGGTGAAACCTTTCATTTAATTGAAGTTCATCGACATTGTTGCACAGTTTATGCCTTTGCCAAATAATTTTTATTTGTACTCCGCTTTTCACAATCAGTGTTTCACAGCAGCTTTAGATTCAATCAAGCCTTCGGAATCTTTGTAATATTATTAGCGCTTATAAAATATATACAATCAAATAAAAAAATTGTGGAGATATTTTCACTCATGTTCTAGATTAAATGTTTCCTGGAGAAATATTTCATTGCTCTGTAAGAATTAAGAATTAAAATTAACTGAATGCAAAATGTACAAAAATATGTATTTTAAACGTTTTGCACTGTTGATGTATTGTTTAATTGACATCAGATAAACATAAAATGTGGGGAATAATTAAACTTTTTTTTTTACGCAGCAACGAGAGAACAAAGCGAATAACACGAGCCAAACAATAACACAACACTATATCAGACATTTCAGATTAATACAAGACAAAAATATTGAAATACATTTAGGTGAGACTTTTTAAAAACATCAGTTTAACTTTATTATTAGTATTATTATTAAAAAACAAAACGTGACAGTTCGTCATTTTCATATCGATGCTGACTGTAATTTGATCTTTATAACTACTGTTTGTTCTTTGATTCCATATAATCACATAAAAAAAAAAAAATTGAGTAATAATTAATTCTGAATCGCTTGAAATATTCGATCTGGAGCGAAAGAAAGGCAGACGGCCGCGGCCTGCGAGCGAAGCACGATGCCAGCGAGCCCAGCTCAGGTCAGCAGTGGACGGCCTTTGACCTCAGGAGGCCAAAGGTCAAGCGCCGGATTCATCTGAAAAGTGCTTCTGAGCTGATTCTCAATCTTTAGACTGGAGGAAACACTCGACTCCACAGAAACCTCGACAAATATGGCGGCCTTCCCTCGACTCCTGCAGCGGACGCGTCTCAACACACACACACACACACACACACACACACTCTCGTACCTGACACAGGTGAGATGGACAGCAGGATGACCACGGCTGACGCTCCTCTCCACGCCATCATTATCCCTCCGTCTGTTTGTCTGTCTGTCGTCTGATGGGCCGCAGGTTCGAGACGAACGAGTGTGTGTGTGACACTTCAGTGAAGATCGAGATCTGCTCTGTGACAGGAAGTGGCTCCTCGAGCTCCACCTGTACATACAGACACGACCCACCTACTGAAACACTGACGACACACACACACACACTCACACTCACACACACACACTCACACACACACTCACACACACAGTCACAGTCACACACACACACTCACACTCACACTCACACACAACACTGAATCAACACTGAATCAGCTCAGAATCAACACTGAATCAGCTCTGAATCAACACTGAATCAGCTCAGAATCAACACTGAATCAGCTCACAGTCACACAACACTCCGCTTCTGCTCGACCTGATGAAACCCCATCAAACCTCCAGCTCCAAAGACACTTTAACATTTAACACTAAATAAAAGTTTGTTCAACTGCATTTGAAAATGACTGCAAAGCTGCTTTATAAAACAGAAGCCGGTTTTTAGGGTTTATTTTACATTCAGCTCTCAAATCAAAACTCATGATGTTTGGAGAAGCAGAAGTTTGTTCTGATGTTTCAGCATTTCTAATAAACGATAAACACTCAAATCAGCTAAATCTGTTTATGGTGAAACCTTTCATTTAATTGAAGTTCATCGACATTGTTGCACAGTTTATGCCTTTGCCAAATAATTTTTATTTGTACTCCGCTTTTCACAATCAGTGTTTCACAGCAGCTTTAGATTCAATCAAGCCTTCGGAATCTTTGTAATATTATTAGCGCTTATAAAATATATACAATCAAATAAAAAAATTGTGGAGATATTTTCACTCATGTTCTAGATTAAATGTTTCCTGGAGAAATATTTCATTGCTCTGTAAGAATTAAGAATTAAAATTAACTGAATGCAAAATGTACAAAAATATGTATTTTAAACGTTTTGCACTGTTGATGTATTGTTTAATTGACATCAGATAAACATAAAATGTGGGGAATAATTAAACTTTTTTTTTTACGCAGCAACGAGAGAACAAAGCGAATAACACGAGCCAAACAATAACACAACACTATATCAGACATTTCAGATTAATACAAGACAAAAATATTGAAATACATTTAGGTGAGACTTTTTAAAAACATCAGTTTAACTTTATTATTAGTATTATTATTAAAAAACAAAACGTGACAGTTCGTCATTTTCATATCGATGCTGACTGTAATTTGATCTTTATAACTACTGTTTGTTCTTTGATTCCATATAATCACATAAAAAAAAAAAAATTGAGTAATAATTAATTCTGAATCGCTTGAAATATTCGATCTGGAGCGAAAGAAAGGCAGACGGCCGCGGCCTGCGAGCGAAGCACGATGCCAGCGAGCCCAGCTCAGGTCAGCAGTGGACGGCCTTTGACCTCAGGAGGCCAAAGGTCAAGCGCCGGATTCATCTGAAAAGTGCTTCTGAGCTGATTCTCAATCTTTAGACTGGAGGAAACACTCGACTCCACAGAAACCTCGACAAATATGGCGGCCTTCCCTCGACTCCTGCAGCGGACGCGTCTCAACACACACACTGGAGGAATCCACAGAAACCTCGACAAATATGGCGGCCTTCCCTCGACTCCTGCAGCGGACGCGTCTCACGCGTCTCAA